AACAGAGCTTTGGGGTGTTAGTGTGTTAAGCCGTTTAAATACGAAAATTCAGTTTTGAATACCAATGCAATCAAGTGTCGAAATTCTAGGTTTTGAACGATTCAGCCTATCAAAGATTGATGTTCAACGGGTGGGTTTAAGCTCATCTTGATTTTGTTCAATGCTCACGGTGATGTGTTGAGCATTAACGTTTTTCGCTTTGCTTGAAATGTTCACTGGTGTATTTGGTGTTGTCAACTCCGTAACCATGCTCCTTCAACTACTTTGAGTCTTGGTGAGGTCACGTTCTTTGTCGTTAAAAGTGTTTGCATTCTTCTTTCCAAGATTTGAAGGTGAGGCTAAATCGTACCCAACCTTTAACATGAGTTTGTAGGCGTTTGGGGAAAAACCTTCTTTGGTCCTCTTGGTTGGAAGAGAGCTTGGTTCTGCCCCCTTTGGCAGGGGTTTTACGAAACCTTGTGGTGGTTTTGAAACTTTAGCGTTGCCTAGCTATGTCAGAGGTAAAACTGCATTTGTCTTGAGCAACTTTACATTGTCCTTGTGCAACTGTGTGTCGGCGTTGCTTGTTCCATTTTTTAATAGGGATTGCCCATTCTTTCTTCTTGACATAGGGATGTATCGGAAAACGGGTATGTTTGATCATTTTGAGGGCGTCATACTCCCTTTGTTTGTTGTGGGTTTGACAGGCTCATCGTCATCTTTGTTTGAAGATGGCATGGTTTTTGCTTCTTGCTTCTTGGACACAGCTTGCCACTCCTATTTCTTAGGTGCGGTTTTCCCTATGGATTTGACCTCTTTTGGAAAAGCTTCGGGCACTATGTCTTCATCCATGTAAAACTTGGCATCTGCGAAGTGTGATTCAGCTTCAACAAATAGCTTGGTGTTGCCTTGTATCACCTTCACTCCTTCTCGATAGAATTTTAAGCATTGGTGGAAGGTGGACGACATTACTCCATTTTCATACATCCATGGCCTTCCTAAGAGCAAATTGTAGGAAGTTTTCACATCAATCACATGGATAACATGCTTAACTTGAGTTCGCCAATGGTCATTTCAACTCGAATCATGCCCATTGCTCTTTGTCTTTCTTGGTTAAAACCTTGGATTACCAGACGGCTTCAGGATAGTTCATCCACCTTGATGCCGATTGTGGTCATTGTTGACTTTGGCATGATGTTTATGGCCGATCCATTATCCACAAACATGCAGTTGATTTACCCAGAGACGAAGAGATGACGGTTGTAAAGCTTTGCCCTAGCAGCAAGTCTTCTTCAATGAAGTTGATTGCATCATGGATGGCATAGCATGTGCCATATTCATGTGGCTGAAGCTTTAAGCCTTTGTCCTTGCTTTCTTGCACCTCATGGTTGTTAGAACTCGCCAAGACTACTACTAGCGCTTTTCGCATCTTCTTCAGCAATCATAACACCTCCTTGATGCTAAAGTGTGCCAGTAGGCTTTTTTTGGGTGTAGGAGTTTTCTCTTCCTTGATGGCAATAGCTTTGCCTTTTGAGGGCTCTTCTATCTCTATTTTAACCATGTGGCAGGCAATGGTAGTGCACTATCAGAAGAAGTCATTCAGGAAATACTGGTGCAAGGAGACGAGAATGTGTGGCTCTTGCTTTATAGGTTCCCCATTGTATGTTGGCTTAGCAGCTTTTACGTTTCTTTTGGGTTTCCTATTGTTGCAGCGGCGATGCTTTCTCCTTTGTTCCACCTTTGGTCTTGGCCTCCTTGTCTTTTTGAAAGTCACCAACGTCCACCATTCTTCGTCGTTGGTAGGTGCATCTTGGTCGTTTGCCCCCAGCGATGGTTGTGTAGAAGGTGCCGTGCAGCTTAAGCGTGGACGGGAGTGGGCATATGTCACTTCGAAAGGCACATGATCAAAAGATCCAAACATAATCGTAGCAGTGTGAGTTGCGGCCGTGTTTTCAAGGTTAAGCTCAATTTACCCTTATTATGCCAACTTCATGATAAGCTCCTTGAGGACGAAGCACTTACCAACTGGATGACTCACGATACAATGGTATTTGCAGCACTGAGGATCGTTAACGCAATTCATCTCTACGGGGCGCTTGCATTTAGGCAGCTCGATTACTTTCGTCTCCAACAGGTCGTCCAGCAATGGGATCACTTTGGAGTCTGGAAAAGGGTACGTCTTTTCCTCTAGTTCCATCAAGGTGTTTTTGTACCTATCTTTGGTGCGAGGAGGCTCTACTCTCTTTATCTCCTTTGCTTTGTTCTTAGAGAAGATTTTGACTGGCGTGGAGGAGGTTTTGATAAGGGTAACACTGACGGTAAAAGCTTCTTTGGCGGGCTTCTTCCCAGTCTTGTCCACCTTTGAAGTAAACACCTTGTCCTTCTTGAAATTGATGATTGGCTCCTTTTTCCCATGATTGGCGATACTCAGCTCTATGTCGTGGGATCGAGTTGCCAACTCCTCAAGCGCTCTCAATTTTATGCCTTAGAGGATGTAATGTAACCCCCAGTGTATGCCTTGAACACACATCTCAATGGTAGAGGTTTCATAAAGACGATCTTTGCAATCCAGACTTAATGAACGCCCTATGTTGATGTAGTCGAGGGTAGGGTCATCCTTCCACTGCTTCATACTTGTCAGCTACAACATGCTTATAATGCAGCAAGTACTGCAAAAGTGGTTAAGGAATTCCCTTTCAAGATGATCCCAGCTATTGATAGATTTGGGCTTAAGGTCGCTGTACCATTCAAAGGCGTTATCTTTTAACGAGCGCACGAATTGCTTGATGAGATAGTCTCCCTCTGTCCCAACGTTGTGACAAGTTTCGATGAAATGGGCAATATGTTGTTTGAGATTGCCCTTTTCCATCGAATTACATGAAATTTGGTGACTAATAACCCCTTGGCATCCTTAACTAGTCAATCTTCTTAGAGTAAGGCTTTGAATACATCACGGAGTCATGTGAGCTCCCTTTGTACTGCACCTTGATGGTGCTATTGATCATCTCCTGCAACTGCTGAATAGAGAGAGATCCCATGAGCGCCGTTGCTTGGTCTAGCTTCTCCTCGGCTTTTTCTATCGAAGGCTCCTCATCTTCGTCGGTTTCCTTGTTTTGTGGGTCAACCTTTGGGTCGTGGTCAGCTTTTCATCATGCTGCGCCTCTAGTCGATTGACGAGTGTGGTAATTTGCAAGTTATTTTCCTCTGCGGTCCTTGTTAGCCTTGCAATTGCTTCATTCATTTGAGCCAGCTGCTCCTTGATGGAAGTTGCACCATTGCTCATGACTTACATGGCTATAGGATACGATTGAGTCGGCATCAGAAGTCAATGACTTGGAGTACCTCATTGGGCTTTCTTCCCTTCGCGCCCTTAGTGAGGCCAGGGTGATCATGGGCTCGTGCCTCGGTTGCTCTTGCTCATTCAGCAAAGTTGATGCAAGGGCGGAAGGCACGGTAGAGAGAGTTTTTGCCTTGCTTTGGGTCATGACGCACAAAGTGCCACCACTTCTGGAAAGGATGTTCTTGCTATTTGAGTTGGTTGCGGGAACAGCTTGATCCTTTCTTGATGCCATGTATGTTTCTTGTGGATTTGAAGACAGAGATGAAAGGTTGAGAAGTCCCACTGAGCGTGCCAAATTTGTAAACACGAAAATTCTGTATTGAATGAAACGAGAACACGTGTACAAAGTAGATTTGTATTGATGAATTTTTAAGGTTGCAATCTATGTTTACAATTTTCCTCTAATTCAGTCTTCCAATTTGATGTAGATGCGTAGGTTGTTGATCCAAGGGTGATCTCAGACAAATGGTTGAACGATTGCTTCAAGTTTTGAGCTTGAAATAACGCGTGGATAGTCTTTACCTCAGGTTTAGGGTTATGGCAAAGGTGATGTTCATGTAGGACTTTGTTGATTCAAGGGTCTTGGCGACTTGATCTTGAATCGAACGTCATTACAAGTTTTGAGCTTGCAACAAAGTTGAACGAATCGGCACAAGTGCTTGTTGATTCTTCAAGGAGTGCTTTGGCTTTGGTCGACAGAAAGCTTCGGCTTTGGTTACGCGTTCTTCGAAGAGAGCTTTGGCAGTGTATTAGTCTTCAAAGATTTGTAAAGAGGTTCTTCTCAATGTGTAATTTTCGACCCATTTGTGTCTTGGGACCTTGTATTTATAGACTTCTCAAAGCTTGCCTTTGGATGGATTTGGCTTTGATTTGTGTCTTGATTTATCCATGGGAGAATTTAGGCATGTTTTGTGTCTTAATTTTAGCCACTTTCCCTTGCTTGGCCAAAATTTATAGGCCTTATTGCCTATTTGTGAGCAATCTTCAATTCTTGCTTGTTTTGTGAAGATGCTTCAATTTTCTTTCTAGTTTTGAGAGATTTTGGGCCCCTTGCTGATTTTAAGGGGGATTTTCTCCTTTCTACCAAATTTTGGAAATGCTTTACACTTCCTTTGCTTGATTTGTGCGACATGTCATTGATGACTTGTCCATTTGTGATGAGTCATATGCCACGTGGAGCTTTGTGATGCACCTTTTGTATACAACAAAATTTACATCTCTACAATAGCAACGATTGTTAATGAGATTTGAACTAAAAAAACTCCTTCAATTATGTGAAGAAGGTGTGCAGCTGTAATTTTACTTTTTGATAAATATGGGTGGGACGAATTCGAACTTGTGCCGATATACCTATATACAAGTTCTTTCATTTAAATTGCAAGTCATGAGCATGAAAAGGCAATACATACCTACTTAAAGCATACAGGTACAAGTAATTATGTTGTATAAAGCTTATAAAATTTCTTTTGAGCATCCAAAAAGATCTGTGTTACATATTTTAATATAGTATATAGGATCACAAATCACAATCACTGTTCTAAGCACCTCAAAAGTGGATCTTCAATCTTCAGCGATTAACATGTAACATCTTCTGAATCTCCAGGTGCAGGTAACAAAATATTTACCACCAAGCAGACCCCTTTCTATGAAAATTAAAAAACTAAATGACGTATATGTGAAAACTTAGGAGGGGAAACAAAACAAACCAAATCATTTGTAGCTGCATTTCAAATGTTACCGTGTGCATGAAGACCTCATATACCGTTTTTAATTTTCCCCGGGAATACAGGAAACCTGAAATGTCAAGTTGATGGTTTAGCTACCGAGGGAGGCTCACTCTGCACGGGAGATGGAAAAGCCTCAGTTATAGTATCCCACGAAATGTTCTGATCTTTCGTTTGCATTCTGTCCAAGAAGGCGGGTTTCATAGGTGTTCCAGTCATTTCCACTTTGCACGTTAACATTGCTACAACCTCCGACATTGGGGGTCTCAAGTTTGCGTGAGGCTGAAGGCACAAGAAGGCTACTTGGATTGCTTGCAAAACATCCCTTTCCACATATCCGTCTTCTTTCATTTTTGGATCTATTAGATCAATCACATTCGCCGTCTCAAATAATTTCCATGCCTACAGTTTAAAGCCAAAAAGGTCAGTGGCAAGATTATATATTAACAGAATGATCAGTAAATTTCTATGCAAGTAAGAATTACTCAAAATATAGAACGACCTACATATTCAGGGAGGTATTGCATTTCTGATGATAAAGTGAGATCTGTGTTTCTTCTACCGCTGGTTATTTCGAGCACAAGAACCCCAAAACTATAGATGTCCGCCTTTTCAGACAATTCTCCTCTAATAGCATATTCTGGTGCCGTGTAACCTCTGAAGAAAGATGATTTATATTAGGCACTGTAGTATCATTCGGTGCCTTCATGAGTCATTATTAGATTTCACACTCTACATTTGTCTTATATGAACACGAAATCTTGAACGAATGTACTGAATGTGCCATCTAATTAATGACTTGTGAAGGGGCCTTATGGAATGTCAAATTAGATGAAGGACTTACAAAGTTCCAGCAAATGCGGTACTAAGATAAGCTTGGTCTTCAGGGAAGAACCTAGCCAACCCGAAATCTCCAATCCTCGGTTGGAATTTGTCGTCGAGAAGAATGTTACTTGCCTTGATATCTCTGTGGATAATTCTTAATGGCGAATCCTCGTGTAGATATTGTAACCCTCGAGCAATACCAACAATTATCTGGAATCTGGTGCTCCAATTCAAGAACTGATCACTCTTTCCTGTTTCCCATCAAGACTAATTACAAGTAATAAATATACTCAAAGGTTTAATGATTTCTTTGCACCAGGTCTAAGTGTTAAATACATATGAACTATATTTATGGGTGACGGAAACAACCAATATAGAGATGGATTGAATGGAAAGTAGTGAATATGTAATACCATAAATAATGAGGTCCAAGCTCCTGTTTTTCATGTATTCATACACAAGCAGCCGTTGAGGCCCATCAGAGCAGCATCCAATAAGACGAACCAAGTTCTTGTGTTGGACGCTTGTGATCAACTTTACCTCTGTAAGAAACTCTGATTCTCCTTGTTGGGATTTGTTAAGGCACAATTTCTTAGCAGCAATTAACTTCCCATCTCCTAATCTCCCCTAAACAAAAAGATACAAAAGAGATTTAGAAATAATAGGAATCCAACGTATATGCCTTAAAATCCGAAAAAAATGTGTTCTCCGAAAAAAACCAAAAAGTTTTGTTTTTACTTTTTCCAAGGGTCTTAAATTTCAACTTATATCTTTGCTCTTGCAGCCTTGCCACCTGCACTACTCTGGATTGATTGTTTTAGGAACCTTATGAGTTCAATGAAATTACTTGTAGTAAGTTGTGGTTTGAATGGATGTCTCAAACTTGCACATTCAAGAAAATAAAAAGTACCATCAACATTGGTTCTGTGGATTCAGTAATCGTACCTGATAGACAGGGCCAAATCCACCTACTCCAAGGAGATTACCAGGATGAAAGTTCTTGGTTGCCTTCTTCAATGTCTTAAAGTCGAAGTAGGTTATTGTTCGAAGGTTCCCACTGAAAACATCTGTCGATGCTGCATATAAGAATACAGAATATTATGATTGAGGTCTTACTAAAATGTTGGTTGGTTAATTTTGAAATTATAATACAACCTGCAGGTTGCCTTCTCACTACTGCTACCAATTTCTTAATATCTTCTGGTTTGATCTTTTTCCGAAAGACAAATAGAAGAACTAGCAATATTATGAGCGTGACTAGCCCTCCAAGGAAAAAGAACAACGCTGGAGACGGCATCTTAGAAGCAGGGGGTCCCGTTGTCATTGAGGATACAGAAGAAATCTCTGCACCCAAAAATATTTGTAACTGATTTTTAGTAGTTTGGGGTTTTTGAATTGAAAAGAAAAGGCATATACTTATTAGGAATAAATGACGGAGCAACGGGATTGAATCATTCCAGTGCGCGTAACGGAAGTCTCTTGATGCAACTTCATATATATCTTCATTTAAAGCATCCAATATGCAATCAAAGGAAAACTAAAATAACACATTCAACTATCACAAATTCTGCTTAAGTGCTAAATGCGCTTAGAAGATGAAGAGTGTGGCAAGTCAAAGTAATCTGAAACCTCAACTGACAAGACAAAATATGTTTTCCTGAAGCAGTGCAAAATATACAGTTTTTGTTTCGAATGTCATGTTCTGGTGATCTGATGCTGTTGGTGGGTTAGCTAGATAATTATGAAACTATTTGTGGCATGATGAGCATGTGGTTTTTGAATTGCTTGTAGCACAAGGTTTCATCAAGGACAAACTTGAGACAATATCCCTACTGACATCTGAATAGCCATTCGGTTTAATGCGAGACCAATATTGATCATTTCCTCCATAATATCGTAAATAAATATAAAAAGGAAAAGAAAAAAGAAAAAGACTGAATCTTTGATTAGTGTATTGAGCATGAACAATGATGTTTTACACTTCTCAGTCAAAATACGCATCTTCCAACTGTGACAAATCTACAACGCGACGAGTGTGGCCTCATATACGTTGAACATCTTGGAGAGCACATCCATACAACAGCAAATAAACATGGGTTTTACAATTCTAGCACAACAATTGATTAAGTTACATCAGATATAATGTAAAGGGTACTGAAGAACATTATTTTTGCGGTGAAGCAATTGTTACGTACCTTGTAGTCTTCTGCCAGTCATTGTTTATTCTCTGCACGCCGAAAGTTGCTGCAGATACAGCAGTGCCACTACTGACTGCAATGTTACTAGCAGCTTAACAGCAACTACAACCATCCATTCTTCTCGTTCGATCTCTTTCCGTCTTCCTTGTTTGTTTCGTTTTCTTCTTCTATTACTTGCGTTGTGGGGGAGAGAGATGAGACAAGGAGAGACAGAATATAAAAGGGAAACATAAGAGTAATCGAAGGAATGGAATTTCGGACATTACAATATGTGGTTATTTGGTCACTTATGGGGATGAGAGGCTTGCCAAACCACAAGATCAATAATTTTAATAACATAATTATAAGGGCTTTTTTATTGACACCCCATATTTTGTTGATTACACCCCAGATAAAATTTAATATTAAATAACTCATATATCTTAATATAAAATGATTATTTAAACCCTAAATAGTACATTCCCTAAATTCTTTTAACAGCAAAACCTAATAATAATTCAAGAACATGTTGAGATTTTTTTTGTTTTCGAATAGTTCAAATTTGAAAACATTTTTTGTAAATTCCGATATCACTTGTTTAAAGAAAATTTTCATAAGCTGGGGATGTAATCGCGATCGCAATCGCTAATGCTGCAAGGAACCATGAGATTTTAATATATAGATGTTGATACATGCATAACCATTAATTATGAATCAGAAACTGATTCCATTAGGCGATTAATAATGTATGGAAGAGAGAGTTTCATTTCTCTTTTTTCTTTTTTTTTTTTTTGGTTGAAAGAAGAGACTTCAAGAACAGAAAAGCTAGTTGAAGTTTGAAATCCCAAAGCAAAATAGGATAACAATGTAAGAGGTCAAGCAAGAACCAAACAAAAATAGCTAAATTATACAAATAGCAGTACACTAGAAGCGGCGTATTTTATTTCCTTGAATTCGACAAACAGAAGCAATTCTTCTAAGACTGGATAAATCTCCCAGCAAGGCAGCAACCACCTTTGTTTCCTTATGTGGGGTGTAAGGGTAGTGTAGGAAATTAAGTGGGGTGTATTAAGATAATTTTTAATTTAAAAAATAAATTTAGGGTGTTTTCAGTACATGGGATGTAGTCAACAAAATATAAGGTGTTGATAAAATAATAATATATTAAAATGTCATTCCAGTGTGGTAACTCTGGGTTGGATGTTTATGAATAATTATTATATTCACTTGTCAAGATCATCAGTGTAGGGAGAGAAGAATTGGGGGTGTTCCCCACTCCCTCCTCCTCCTCACCACTTAACTAGTTAATCGAAGAGTATGGTTAAGACCAAATTTTTCAAATCAAATGGTGTGGTGATTGATGATTGAATTATTATTAAGTGTTGATTAACATGTTTATTTTCTATTAGTGACACATCATTTGGTTTGCAAGTTTGGTTTAAAACTTTGTCTTCCCTTGCATTATCCTTAATTAAATTCTCTATCGCTGAATATCGTAGCGGGAGAAGCACATGTTTTTTATCATTCCGTATATAATTTCAATATTCACACATTGTTGAGCCCTAAAACACCACTGCATAAACTACGAAGCTACCAAAAATGCCCAAAGTCTTGGTAACATCCAAAGCTTTGTAGACACTAATTCTAGGTTCAAAAAGAACCAAAACTTCAAAGGCATGAATTCTTTTTAAGTCATTAACAAAGGACTCACTTTCACATTCCACGCTAGCTTTAACATTCTTAATAAGCTAGAAAGCAAACCGCCGGCGCTAGTGCCAAAGAACACGTATCTATTACCTTCCCCAGCAAACATATTAGTTAGCACTAAAAAAATAGAAATCATAATGATTTCAATTCTCATTTTAAAGAAACGCGTCATAAATTTATTTCACCAAATATCTTATACTTATCGGTTATGACTCAAGACCTCTACTAAAAAGTGTTACTTTAATCAACATTTCCCCTCTCCTACACAGAGAGATTAATTCGATCGAGGATTCAAATTTGTGACGTCATTAATATTAGGAAGAGAAGCCACTTAGTACTACGGTTTAATGGTATTCATTTTCACTTGTAAGCGAGAGGTCTTAGGTTCGATTATCGTCAAAGACGAATTTGAATCACATTATTGCTAGTCCATTTTGAGGTTAAACCCACTCTCTTCCCTTAATATAGATAATATCACTTATTCAAAAAAATATTACATTAGGATGAAAAGTATCACTGAATAAATAACTAGTTAGGAATAATAATTAATTCGAACTTCGATTTACATGGCATAAAACTACTGCCAATTGATAATTAACTACTTATGTGTATAACATTAACAGGTGTTGACAAAATCACATTTTCCAACCTGTTAGTATCACAAAGGTAATGACAGGATGCAAGGGAGGATATATGTAAATATACTAATATATACACATAGTAATTTACACGAAAATCTGGGTTCACATTTTTTATTGATACAAAACAGATGACAATATCAAGTGTAAAAGAAATAATATATAACAATATTTTCATGATCCTCCTATGTGGACTGAGATGGTGTTGATGGATGGTTATCATAGTGTATATCAATAAGAAAATAATCCAAGTTTAATTTTTAATTAAAAGAATTAATCTGCAAAACAAATAAATACATGTAATGACAATGGTAAGACGGCATTAACAATAAGAAGGGATTTTGACTCAAACCTCCAGTGAAATGATACTATGATAGGCGTGTTGCCATGTCACGCCGTGCGTCCCTCCTATATCAAGGTTTATGAGCTCGGAAAATGTTTTCATCCTTCATAAGGATTCTGCCATGTCGTTCCTTGAAGGCTTGAACCCTGCCAACTGAGGATTTGTTCGCTCATGCTTACTGGAGCACCAAAATAACAACTTTAGACGTCAACTCTTTAGAGAATAATTGCGCTAAGAAACTACTTCTCTTTTTTTCGTATTTAACGAAGAAGATACGACTTTTTAGAGGAAATTGGAATGTTGAATGCCTTTTAGGGACGCATGGTTGTGGAATCTATCCTTCATACAGCACAATTAAAATATTTAACAACCTTCAGATGTGCAAGTTTTTGTGAGGTCTATATGCATGTTCTTATATCTATATCGTATAAAAAGGTAAAAATAGAATTATATGGCTGAATTACTTCATATTATTCACAAGATTAAGAATATATATACACAATCTTTGTTTCACAACGAAACATAAAAGGACACAAAATATATCCTTCCTAATAAAGGACTCCTAAAATATTTACATAAACTTTACATCCTTCATTAAGACTCACATTAACAGTCCCTCTCAAGTTGGTGCATAGATATCACACATGCCCAACTTGATGAGTGAGTCATCAAACTTCCTACTACACACGGCATGAGTAAGAAAATCTGCCAATTGCTCTTCAGAGTTCACGAATGGTATTGACACAATCTTCTTCTCAAGTTTCTCTTTAATAAAATTCCTATCAACCTCCACATGCTTCATCCTATCATGTTGCACTGGATTTTTTGCTATATTCCCTTGCATACTTGGTATCACAATATAGTTTCATAGTCTCCTTCGGTTTGAACCCAAGTCCCCAAAGAAGCTTTCGTAACCACAGAATCTCACATATTCCTTGTGCCAAAGCCTCAGCAAATGACCGCGATACCACTTTCTGTTTCTTACTATGCCATGTGACTAAATTCCCTCCAACAAAAATGAAATAGCTGGATGTAGAATCCCTGTCGTTTACATCACATGTCTAATCCGCATCAGTAAATCCTTCAATTCTTAGATGTCCATGTCTTCCATACAAAATCGCTTTACTAGGTGCAAACTTCAAATATGCTAAAATACGCATGACAACTGCCATGTGATCTACACTTGGTGAATGCATAAATTGACTCACAACACTTACCGCATAAGCAATATCAGGACGGGTATGAACCAAATAAATCAGTCTCCTTACAAGTCTTTGATATCGCCCTTTATTAACCTTTTTCTGATCCGGATACATGCCCAAATGATGCTTTTCCACAATAGGAGTATCCACAGGCTTACACCCCAACATACCTGTTTCCTTTAACAAATCCAAAACATATTTACAGAGACAAGAAAATACCTTTAGTTGAATGAGCAACTTCAACCCCAAGGAAATAC